CACTGGACCCTTTGTGTGAGAGCTGTGCAGAGACACAGGAAGGCGTGTGGTCTCCAGTATTTCACATGTGAAGTTTCCATGGCCCGTAAGGTCACCCTCTGGATCACACATCCACTTGGAGCTCAATTCCTCCGCCTGTCACTATGCCTAAGCCAGGGAGAGCTGATGGAGAGCAACGAGGCTCTGCTCAGGCCACCCAGGAGACATCCACCTTCTTACAGAACCCAAAGGCTCTCCTTAGCTGAGGATGGGGTCAGGGTGCAGCTGCCCTTGACAGAAGGTGGGTGACTTCACCTACGATGCCAAAACAAGCCGCTTTCTTAAGAGCCGGAAGAATCAGTTCACAGACTCCACATCCACATCTCTGTGCCACATCCACAGGCCTGAGGAGATCCACGTGGAACTGTGTGCAGCCATGACCTTGGATTTCCATCCGAGCACTTTCCAGTGGATGCAAAGCCATCCAGTGAGACGCTGAGCCTGGGAAAGGTCTGCACAGCCCAGCCTGACTCTCCAGTGGTCACCCTTTGGACCAAAGCAGAGCTGCTGGTCTTATCTTTGCTGGGGCAAAGTGAGCCAGGATTTATGGGTTCCCAGATGCTGCTCTAAGCCCTCCGTGCACGCACAAATGAACACACAGGAATCCCCCGTTCATCGGCTCACTGATCCTTCCCAACCTTAGGAAACAAGAGGAGATGGATTTTCCCTCAGACATCAGAGTTTGGGAGGCAAACGCACAGCTCTGGCACTGATCCAAGGAAGTGAGCCTGGGATAGGTTTTCTTTCAAGAATTTCAACCCATTCATGTACTTTCTTAATGATTCGAAGCCTTCAAGGAGTTGCCTTTTAGCTTTAGCTCCCTTTCAATATTTGTCATGTGTGTCAAAGTCGATTCTTCATGTTTCCTCTGTACCTTTAATGGAGAAACTTCATTTCTTAGGCATTTGAAAGATATTTTTCCCTATCACTGGTTTTTTTTAATTCATGGAAGAAAAGGTCACTTCGAAAGCAAGTAACAAGGATATACAAGGGTAAGAGCAGAGGGAAGTGTATCTCATTTGGAGACTTGATGTTAATGTTCTAGCATGAAGAAATCTTAGTGAATGACTGGAAAAGGCCATGGAGTCACTAATTCCTTATTAAGGTTGGATAGACAAGCAAGTACCTGCAGGCAGTGACCACTTGTCCAGGCTGCTGAGTTCTTGGAAACTCCAGGGAAATGCCCTACACCAGGTGGTCCTGATAAAGAGAAGGAATGGGAAGGAAAGCTTCCCATCCTCCAGCTCCTCCAGGAGCTTTTCTCCCAACATGCCTACACATCTGGAAGCTGAAGGAAGGGCCAGAAGGTCTTCAACATTTGCTGAGCCACCAGGGTGGAGTATGACTAGTCCTGTCTTGACTAAAGACTTGACAAAAGCATTTGACAAAGCAAGGTCGAGCGACCGATCCGACAAAACCCTGTTAGATTCCTGCCCAGGCAAAGCCTGAGGATTGCAAATTAAACACTCAGCAAAGCTCACCTGAGCCCCGAGACAGGGAGAGACAGAGTCCCCCTCCAAACACCCCTCCTGCTCCTCTTGGCTCCGAGGAAGTCAGACCAGAAGGAACTTCTGCAGCCAAAAGCCCAATTCCATGTCTGGAGAGGCAGGAGAGCACCTGGGATTTTTGGATTTTGCACGGGATTTTTTATCACCGGCTGCAGAAATCATATATGGATACAATAAGAATTAGTTCAAAGGGCTGAATCACATCTCAGTCTGGTCCTGGGCTGTCTCTGCTCAGCCACAGTCCTTATCAGACAGGTTTGGCTACATGATTGCATTTCACACTCTGAACACAATTATTTTCTTAATCTTTTATAAACTACAGCTACAAGTTTTTGCGACTTGGTTTTGCTGACCTGCAGTTTCCTATTGACGCTCGAGCCATAAGTAAAATATCTCTGAAATAAGCTAAGGAAATAAAACTGGGCAATCAAAGGTTTCAAGAGACCCATCAGGCTGCACAGGAGTGCAGAGCAGCAGGCTGGGTGCCCTGTTTTAAGCTTTAACTTAGGCTGCTACTATTTATTCTCATTAAATTCAGAGTCATCTGGCTTAATTTGGTTTGCCAGAAATTTGCTTTAGGAAAATTTAGAGTAGGATCAGAGTCACCAGGCTTTTTTTCCCCACCATTTTAGGACAGAGGATAATAATAGAGGATTTTTTTTTCCATGAAAGCATATGCAATTTCCTCTACAACCATCCAAAACAAATAATCAGGAGATTTCCCCATGTTTACAATGGGGCTTTCTACTGACCTTCCCTGCAAAGCACTGTAGGAGAAATCAGTGAAAAATACTCTGTAAGAAGTGGGTCACAATTGCTGTTATTGTTACTTGGAAATTATGTAGCGTCTAATCTGAAACCAGACACAACAATTAAGGGCTTCTCTTTGCCCTTTTCATAACAAACCAATTATATTCAACAGTAGGAACAGTTAAATTGGAATAAATCTAGTTTGTACACAGAGACGTTTCATGTTTATTAATAATCATTGTGTTTAGTGTTTAGACCAATTCCAAATATAAGCTGTAACGATGTATAAAAACTTTTCTCCTTGGCATGATTGAGTGAACATGACTGACTTGGCTCTCCCTCTCTTTTTGAACAACTATAATTATATCAGTATAAAAGTGACTACATGAGCCTCAATTTGTAGCAAAGCAAAGATGGACAAAAGTGAGAGTATTACTTTCAGATTTCATGAGGAAAGAGATTTTTCAGCCCCTAATTTGATGAGTTTTGACAGATTTCTTTATCTTGTGCCTCTGTTTGAGGAAGCAACTACTGTGCTGCCTTTAAATCACATCACTAGTGGTGATTTGGGAGTCCCTGCTCTAAATCTGAGCACAAGGAAACCAGGGATGTCTTACTGGCACTGCAGCACAACCCAGCCAGGAACAGCTGGTAAGGAAGAGAAAAAGAGCCTTTTGGGTGAGTTTAGAGAGGATATTGTTTAGGCAAAGGTTGCATTTGCCAAGCAAGCTGACAGGTTTAGAAGATGTAACCTGCTGCACATGGCTTCCACCTGCCCTAATTCCCTAAACCACAGATGTTATCCAGCTCCTCCTCATGTAACCAAAGGGTGATTTTACCCACCTCAAAGCTTGTGCCTCAAGTGGTTGGAAGTTTCAGTCCTCTGAAGGTCTTTTGTGTCACAGCAGATTCTGGAGATAATTTTGATGGCCAGCTTAGACCAGGACTGGAGTTGTCATGTGACAGTGTTGATTGAGACATATTGAGCCATATGCAAAGTGTCCTGCCCAGGTTTGCATGAGTAATGGCAGAGATGGAAAGAGATCCCTGGGAAAAAGATCCCTGGGAAACAGTATCCTCATCTCTGTACTTTAATTTTTTGGAGATGTGATTATGAAATTTTATGCAATGCGTGCCAGGAGCTGGAGGTCCATATTGCCTTCAGGACTCCTAATCTTGAGATGGAAACAAGTGAGTCTGTCTCAAAAAAAACACAGTTTGAGGATGCTGTTACTATGACATGGCTGATCACAGAGTCCCTGTTCCTCCAGGGTCCTCCAGGTAGGTCTCACTCATGTGGAGCTGTTATTGGGACAGGGACAAAAAGGAGAGAGATCACAGAATCACAGAATGGTTTGGGTTGGAAAGGACTGAAAGCTCATCTCGTTCCACCCCCTGCCATGGGTAGGGGCACCTTCCACTAGCCCAGGTTGCTCCAAGCCCCATCCGACCTGGCCTTGGACACTTCCAGGGATGGGGCAGCCACAGCTTCTCTGGGCAACCTGTGCCAGGGCCTCCCCACCCTCACAGGGAAGGATTTCTGATTTGCCTTGAAACAGTCCTGCTACAAAAGTGACCTGATCTGTCCTGTGAGGGCTGGTGCTGGTCCAGGGAAGGGCAGCACTAGATCTCTCATATATTAAAGTTTCTGCAGGACTATCATGACCATCAAAGCCAATGCAGCACAGCTCACTGTACAGAGGAAGGTAAAATAAGAAATAAAAGAAAGTAAAGATGACGAAATACAACTGTTTTTATTCCATATATCTGCCTTTAGGGAGGTGGGTGCTATCTGATGACTACTCAGCATTTCTCATTAGGTTCCTGTTGTGCTGATGGGTGGATGTGCAAGCAGCTGAGACAAGTGGAAGGACAACACCAGTTTTGCAAGAGGTGAAGAGCTCCTTACGCACTGTGAGATCACAAATCCATCACATGAAGCCTAATGAGGAGGCTGAGCCAGTACAAATACAACTGTTTAACAGTTTATTTTAACCATCCAATGAGAATGAAACAACTTAAAAGGATTCATACTGCCAACAATCTTTTCCTTTTTTTTTTTTCTTTTCCTCTTCCCCTCCTTGCATGGCATTTGTTAGAAATCAGGATTTTCCTTAACTAAATGTCTTGTGGTCTCCTTAGCTTTGTTTCTTAACAGGGTTGTCTTTATGTTAGTTTTCTTTGGCTTCCCAATAGAAGAGTAACAGATTTCTTTTGAAGTTTTTATTGATGAATGAGCTCCTATAAATAACTCTCTGTGGCAGCAGCTTGATCTCAGAGTTTACTCTGGAATAATAGTAGCAATGGGAATGGAGGAAATTTATGGCAGCATGACATGAAATAGTTTAATGGGCTTCATACTGTTTAACTTAATCTTTACAGATGTAAAAACAGAAATACAATTATTTTAACAACTATTATTACATATTGCTCTTCTAATGAAAACAGAAACTTAGTAAGCAAATGAAGATAGGTAGGGAAGAATTAAGGAGTCCACCTCCCTGCAGATTTGGGAATTAGTGTGTTGGGCCAGTGTATTTGTAAATCTCCATGTGAAGAGCTGTGGAAGATCCAAGGTGGTTGCAGAGGATGGGTCTGCAGGTGGGAATTGGTACTTGCATGTAAAGCTGAATCACAGGGCTTTGGATCAGGATGTAGATGCTTTGGGAAAAAAAAATCAACTCTGTTTTCTTCCACACCTCCTTATTCCACCCATCTGCCTGGTGAGGAGTTGATCCCGATCCCACCAAAGTCCATCCTTGGTGATGCTGTGGGATACTTGGTCACATCCCTTGTCTCTTGTAGCCCCATGAGTGGTACAGCTGTAATCCTCCCACCTTAGGAGCAGAAAGGGGGACTAAACTCACACCAACCAAAGGATGAAAAGGACAGAGGGACATGATGAAAACTGACCTGATAAAAGAGAATTTAACTGTTTATCATCACGTCTGCTCACCTTCCCATCATGGGTCTGCTTGCGTCTCTAAGGCAATGCCACTTGATGCAAAGGTGACCCAAATGTGCCTCTTTAACCTGTGTAAAATCAGGAAGGTGAAAAGGAAAATCATCGTAAAATCATCAGTTTTCTGTGTAAATGCCCAGCCTACAGGCAGGCTGGTATTTAACCCAGCCAGGGATCCAGACCGAGGATGTGTGGAACACAATGTGCAAGGGGTGGGTGTAAAATCCACTACTATAATTACTAGGAAGAGGCACAGGACCTAATTCAACCCTGAGATTTCCTTTGCAGGGGGTTGGATGTGGCTCGTAGCCAAGGGCAGTTCCATTGCACTTCTTGGTGCTTTGCAAAGAGCTTGAGTAAATATTGAAACATGTTGGTACTCTGCGTAATTTCTATAACAAAAGCTGACAGCTTTTGTTTCCTCCTTGAGGGAGCATTATTTGAAATGAAACTGCAGTGAAATTTATTAGCGTTGTGTGCTTTCAACTGTCTGTTCAGTGGGAAATTTGTGCTATCCATAACATTTTCCAATCCGCAGAAATCGCCCGTGCAAGGAATAACTTGCAAATTCTTACTCCATTTCCAAAAATGTGGGAAAGTTTATTTATTTCTCCATGCATTCCTGATTCGCAATGTGCTCTCTAAAAATGTCGCTAAGATTTAGGCTAACCAAGCTCATGCTAAATTTAGCAACTATATTTTAAATAAACATTCTTTACGCTTTACTGAGCCGGCTTTGAAGCCGCTTAAAACAAATCGTGTTCGCATGAACATGAACAATGTTTTACTTTGGACTAAGTGAACATCTGAATAAGTAATAATGTATTATTATTCAGTATAATCCGAAAATGAGATTTTAGGGATCTAATTCAGTTAATTTAGGCAAGATTCCTGTGAGGAATACCGAACCAGGCCTGTATTTATTTCTGGAAGAGCCTGTTTTTTTTCTCTTTGACCACACAAAACTTCCTTCTGGTGTCTTATTAGAACTGAAGCTCCAAGGGTTGGTGAAATCAGCTGTGATTTTGCACGCACTGCACTTGAGGAATCTGGCCCATTTTAAAGCACTTAATGATTTGTCTGGATAAAGCACTAAAAATATACTGTGGGGAGCAATTATGCAATGTCCAGACTGATGGATTGCATAACCTCATAGACCTTTTCCATCTGTAACCTCTCTAATTCTGTGATCTTGTCTTCTTGGTCTTTCACTTAAAATCAAATATGTGATCTGTTTAATATCCCAAACGCTGTCTCCTGGGAGATCTGTTTTCTGGGTGTGTGGGGCTACGAATCAAGTAAAGAAGCAGATCCTTCTTCCCCTCTCATTTGGCAAATTGGCTGCTTCTCTCACCAGGCTTGGGAGCAGCCAGTGGGTTTTGGTGTGAAAAAGGATGCTCTCTCCTTTATGTGTCTTCCTTGGCGAAGGATGGAAAGAAAATTAACTATAAAATGGTGTGAGGGGAAGCAAAAGCAGCTACAAAGTCCCTCAGACTTATGTCACCTGTAAATCAGACACACAGACAGCCACTTGCAGTGACGAGCCCTGAAAGTGGTTCCTGCTCACATGTAAATACTCGATTATATTTTATATAAGCTGCGGGACCAACTTTAGGAGAACACACACTGAGCGCATTTAAAGACTGGGAGCCCCATTTATGAGAAATTAAACTCCGGAATTATTTTAATACGCCAAATTTTCAGTTCCCCTCAAAGGAAACGTGTGTTTGGAGCGAAGCCGCCCTGTGAACCGAACGAGCCTCTTCCACTGTGGGATCTTCTCTGCCCCTACGAGTTAAAATTGGCTGCGGAGCTCGGAGACGTGGAACCTTGCTGGGTTGGGAGAGGTCACTCCTCTCCAGAGGAACGGAAAGGCACATATATCGCCCACACAAGAAGTGTGCTGTTTATACTGCATCCTGGGCTATTTTCTCCATTTCTCCACAGTATTCCAGACTGGTGTTTACAGCCAACCCTGAGAGGTTGGGAAAGCCAGGAGGGGGAAGATTCCAGGGATGAGTTAAATACTGGGTGGCAGTTTCGTGCTTGGCAGCTGGTTTGGGGGGGGGGGGTGTGAAACAGGTGTGAAACCATTGGCATCAATTCTTTGCAGCTTGTCAAGTCCTTGATATTCATGTGGCACTTTGGCTGATTTAAACTACACCACATCAAAATTCACATGATATATAGAGGATTAAAGGATGCTCAGTCACATCCAAAGGCCAGGAACTAGTGGATTGACACTCACACTCATTTCTCTGCACCGAAGCACTGTTGCTTTTATTTTATGTTTTTATTGTATGTTTTTATTGTATGTTTTTATTGTATGTTTTTATTTTATGTTTTTATTGTATGTTTTTATTGTACCATTACTTGTCCTCTCTCTATAAACAGATGACGTGCAAGAGCTGTGTGTGGTTAGTCATCCTGCCTGCTGGCAATAAGACCCTTTTTCGTGGTATTCATCCCCTGTTACAGCACTGGCCTGATCCCAATTAATTCCAAATTGCCCCTCATAACTATTCACTCTGTTGTGAGTTCATTTGAGTTAGTGTCACTTTTGTGCAGAGCATGTTAAGTTTACTAATTTTACTCTCTCAAGCGAAACCAAAATCAAGCTCAATGTGGCTTTTAAATAGTGCAGCTGTACTTGGTCCCACTTCACTCCACCAAAACAGAAATAAGATCAAATGTCAAAGCAAAGCTGCACTAAAAAACAAATCCCCATTGCATAGAAAATGCTGAATCTCCCCCCCCCCCTCCAAAAAAAAGCGTCTGTGATAAAAATATACATGGTCTACATATTAAACTGAGACTTATTCCTTTGGATGATTTTTTTGACCACTAAAAACTGCTCTTGCACAGAAAGGGCTGTGAGATGGAGAGGTTATAGATGTATGAGTAGGAAAGGAATTAAAGGCCTGTTTACGGTTCAAAAAAGGTACTTTGTGAAGCTGGAATAGGAGCATAGAGGTGACAAAACGAGGGGAGGGGGGTGTCACAGCTGGGATGCCAAGTTAGGAGAAAGGAAAACAAAGGAGCTTGAAGACACAGGTTAAAACTGGTGATTAAGAGCATAAATATCCACGGTGGTGGGGGCCAGGCTGCCAGGACGCCAGGGATGCAGGATCCCCACCTGTAGGAACTGGCTCTGGAGCTTGATGGAGATCCATCAAACAAGTCTCAGAGGCAGCATTAACCTCCCATCTCACACCCGAGCCCAAAGCATCACTCAGGGAGTGGAGAGATGATTGGAGGTCTCTGCTGGGCAAGAACTGAGCTGGATCATTTTCCTACCCCTGCAGCTTCCTGTGAGTGATGTCACCTCACGGACTCCAAACAGACTGGTGATGTCAGTCCCCAGCCTTGAACAGAAACCTCCTGGCAAAGTGGTCACTGATTTAACCAATACCTGTCTCTAATTACACACAGGAGTGGCACTGCAGGGATAGGATTTCACACAGGGAGCATCAACACTCTCAGCACTTGCCCAGCCTTGTAAATGGTGGTGGGGACACATGTCCCTTTGGCTGAGCAGTGACACCTTCATTTTACAAGTGCTTTTTTTTAATTATTTTTTATTTCAGTGCCATAGCTTTAAAGAACTTATTCAATATATATTCAAGTTGTCAGAGTTGTCAGAACTACTTAAATAAAGTCTATCTTGCAAATCTGTTTTAAAAAAATCTCTTCTATTCCCTTTTTTCACATTGAGAAGAAGGAGCTCGACCTATCCAGGGATCTGCCTGTAAGCATCATTCTTTTGGGAACCTCAGTATCAGTTCCCACCTTTTGGAGATTTTCTGTATTTCCCCATATGAGAGTTCTTTGCCTTGTGCTGGAATGAGGCCCCTGAGCTCCTGGTCCAAATGTCAAAGTTGTTTGGTACTGATCTTCTTCTGCGCAAACTGAATCACAACTCACCTGAGAAACCCACATTTCCAATATCCAGGTGCTAATTTAAGGACAAGCTTTTCTAGCGAGATGGGGTGGGATGGAGGGAAGAGAAGGAGAAACAATCATTTTGGGAAAGATTACCTCAGTTTCAAGGAACAGGTAATTTCCCAGGACTCTGTTTTTAGTCTCTCCCATCTTTTATAAGGTCCGTCATGTCCTCACCAGGATATTCACTGCATCCAGCAGCAGACCCCACTCCTTGATCCTCCAGGGTGTTTTACATCACACCAGCCACACTCCTGAACAAAATACTTTTATTGGATATAGGTTTAGTTTCATAATGAAAATTGAGAATATAGATTTTTTTTTCCAAAATGGCATTTATCCACTAATATACAAAAAGCCTCTATTTATGGTAAACAAAAATAAGAAATATTCCTGATTTCTTGCAGTCTGGATTCTTCCTTCTTTAAGAAAAAATAAAATTTTAGATACATAGCTGATGTCTTTTTTTTTTCCTGGTAGTTGTCCTGGTTGTTAAAAGACATATTTCAAAATGCCAAGAGTGGCCTCCACAACCCTGCTTCAGTCTTTTCGTGGTCAGAAGCAACTGATCCCAGCAAGATATGGAAAGGGGATGCATCCTTGTGTTTGCTCATCCATCCCCCTCTCATCAGTGAGCAGAAACTCTTTTGAGATACTCGAGAAGCACGAGTGCTGGGCAGGAAACCAGTTACACACAGTGCTGAGCCTAAGCAAGCAGGAATGTGCAGGATGAGCCTGGATTGCTTGGTCTGCCCTTATTTCATCTCCAGTTACTTGCCTTTACCCACTGGGAGGACTGGGCCAATGGGGAGTATCAGGAATTATTAATATCTGTGGGTATTAACGGCAAAACAAAGCTCAGCCCCCTCCCCCACGGATGGACAGAGTGGGTTGGGTTTCCAAAAGGAAAATAAAAGAAGAAAACCAGAGACCTGAAGGGCTCGAAAGAAACCAGGTCTGAGGAACCTGAGGGATGCAAAGAGAAGAGGTGCAGAGCAAACCCAACAGAGCTTAGGGGCAGTGTGGGCAATCCTCCCAGTGCCTGTCTCTATCTTCACTACCCATGGGAAAAGAAAGCTGGTTTACCTTCAAAAGTCGCTCTGGCGAGGGGGTGGGAGGCAACGGCTAAAGAGAGTCCGCAGCAACACGCGCCTTGAAAATGCCCTGAAATCCTGAGTCACCTTTTACATCGCTCTGGGGTTTTTTTGGTCTACCCGCGCAGTGAGGTCTGAGTCCAGCCTCTCACCCCCATCGC